AGCAAAAAGCAAAACATTGTTTCAAAGCAGGTGTTGGCAAGCGATTGAAGCTCAATTGTAACACTCGCAGAACTCCATTAGCTTCTTCTATTGAACCCCATACTTCACTATTATCTTTAATTGATAACCAGTCATCCTTCTTCCTATTATTGCACAAACTCCCCCCAATAATATTTGCAACTAATGCCAAACCTCTACATTTGCTAGCAATATCCATTCCAATCCCTTCCAATTCTAAAGGGAATGATGAGCTGCCAAATGCTCTTTTCTTGATTATGGACCAACAATCCTCATTTGTTAGCTTTTCAAGATGATGCCTATGCTCCAAAAGTGTTCCCATTGTGGAAGCTACATTTTCACTTTGAGTTGTGACAAGAACTCTATTCCCAACATTTTTACCTATTCCCAACAAACAGCTCCTTAAGGATTCCCATTTTTGCCAATCTTCATTCCATACATCATCTAATACGAGAAGATATTTTTTCTCCCTCAAATGTTCTTTTAGTTTCTGAACTACAATATGTTGACTTTCATCCACAGAAACATTTTCAGCAACAGCTTGCAACATTTCTACTAAAATTTGTTTCAAATTAAAATTTTCAGAAACACAAACCCACATGATTTTGGAAAAATGACCTGTATTTGCTCATTGTTACACACTAGTTTGGCCACAGTAGTTTTGCCTATGCCTCCCATACCCACCATGGATACAACAAGGAGAGGTTGATCATTACTTGAGTCAATCAATGATTGAACAACTTCTAGGACCTTATTTTCTCTTCCTATAATTTTTGATGGATCACTAATTGAGGAATCTGTTTGTTGGGTTTCTATATGTTCAGGATGCTTGCTTGCAAGTCTATATTGCAGCCCTAACCCAGTGGCCCTCTTATTAAGGTCATCTAGTTCTAAGTTTAAATTCTTAATCCTGTTAGCTATCTTAAGGCGAAGAGCTAAAGGATTGGAAAGAGTAAAGAAATAGCTGACCTTTTCCCACATTTGAGCTACCTTGTACCGTAGATGTTCATATGCAATCTCATCTACCACATCGTCAGCTTCATCAACTATATTTCCAAGCTCCTCAAGCCAAGGTTGCAGATCAGAGTGACTTGTCAGCTTCTTCTCTTCAGCATCTTGCAGCACGCCCTCCAGCGTTCTCAACATCACATGAAACTTCTTGAGTTCTTGCTTGAATCCCACTGCTAAGTTGAGTTGCTCAGTAGTAACTGAAATCACCTTAGATATTGTGACATCCACAAGAGGACCAAGAAGTTTAGCCTCCATATTTGATAGAGTAGTTTGGAAGAGAGAAATGTTTGGAGATTGTACAGCAGAAAAGAGGGGAGAATAATGTGAAGGGGGTAGAGAATAGCTACAGGCAACATTTATACATGTAGACAATAGAAGGTGACGGTTAAAGATTGGTGCTTGTCCAACGAATGAAGAAAAAGATAAAAGGGATGCGTGATGAGGAGGAAAAGATAAAGGATTGCCCTATATTTATCTTTCTTAAAACAGAAGTATTCTTCTCCTCCATTGTTGTTAGTTAATCAGCTAATGCAACATTCCTTTATGGTAGCATCTTAGATTTCTTTGGACTAAATAATAATAATACATAGCATATTTCCTCTTCTAAGAAAAGAATAGTCTCTTTTCCAATCAAATAAGTCGAGATGATGAGGAAAGAGGAGGAATAAAATAAAGGGTTCCTCTTTCCTCTTTCGCGTAAATTTCTCTCTTTACGTTTTGTAGATACCCAGATTTTTCCAAATTCAAAGTGGCTTCCTTTCTTCTTTGCCGCGACTTACTGCACCATCTTCTCTCATCATTTTCCTGTAATTTAGCTTGGGCCAGATTTACTATCTGGAATTGGGCCTGTTTAAATGGAGAAACATAAGGTTTCGGCTTTTTGGGTTGAGCATCTTAAGCCCAAATTTGCTTTTCAAAATCAAACCATTTTAAAGCCAGATTGATTTTCCCCCTTTCTAATTAGGTTTCTTTGGTTTGAGAATCACTTTGTTCAGAAAGTTTTTATTAAAAAGTAATTAAAAAATATTATATATAAAGTTATTAATTTTGATAATAAAGTTTTATTAGAATTTTCTTAGGTTATTAATTTTATTTTGTTTGGTAAGAAATTGATATAAGAAAAATTAGTAAAAAAAGTTGTTAAGTAGATTTAATATAAAAAAACTTCTTTTTTTAAAAAAAAAAGGTGATGAAAAAATTTTATAAATTGAGAATTATATTAAAAAAATAAATATTAAAAAATATCATTGTTATTCTTTTTTTGTTAAAATATTAATATGTGAAAACCCGTAAATAACTTTATAAAAGATAAAGTTTTAAAAAATTACCCCAACCAAACACCCCTAATGTTTTCTTTGTCCTCTTTCACCATTTTTTTTTCTTTTATTTTTTTTCAGTTTATATATTTTTTATAGTAAAATATTTTTGGATCAGTTTTCGAAAACTGATGAGTCCTCTTTTTCCTGAAAATCTCAAGTGTACACCTACCTATATTTAAATAAATTAATTTTGTTAAATGCTATGCCAAAATTTGAACATGAAAATGAATTATAAAACTGACTTACAAAATAACAATTGCTTAGCAATCAACCTAATCCTACAGTTTACTTTCCTTTTATTCTACAACTGGGAAGGAAACAAAGAAATTTATTTCAACTCAGCTTGGGGTTTGGAAATTGGAATAACGGCCTCTAATTTTTTTTTTTTTTAGAATGAATTATGCATTACTTTCCCTAAACAAACAACATTAACATCAAATTAAAAGAACTGCACCCAATCCAAATATCATACAACCCAATAAACTATGAATCTACATTAAAGAGAATAAGCAAAATGGAACAGAAACTGTACCTTTTTCAGTGACGAATTTCAACTCTTAAACTTCTTCCTCCCCTCTTTAATTTGTTCATCCTCCCTTCCTGCACTGCAACTGTGGTTTGCTGCCT